GGGTTTTAGCAATATTGTATTCTGGTCTGCACAGTTGCTTACCTCATATTGCTCACCTGTTTTCCAGGGTTACAGTGAGAAAGACTCATGTGGGGAGGCCACATTGTGTATGTCATTAATTACATCCCAGCTTTCCTAGAATAGTATGAAGTATAAGCCATCCTGGTGCAAAAGCAAAGTGCTCATTTTTAAATGTTAGCGAAATAAGCTTTTTGAAGTACTTTGAATTGATGCATGTTGAATTGCTTTTAATTTACATATGTCGACTAAGTTTTATACTTAATATGTATTGGTTGGAGACATCTAGAATATAAGCAAATAGTAGAAATACATCAAAGTGGCATCATACAGACAAGGCCATTGAGCTTGGAGGAAATTGACAAAATGACAGCGTGTCAAAACACAAATAATGTAAAAGCTAAGTCAGTGAGAAGGGAGAATGCTAAAGGTGCAAAGACAAGTTGTTTCCCCATTTTTTTTTTAACCTTATGTGCATGGAACTCTTTTGATATTTGTTTTTGCTCCTATAAGCGTATACGATTAAGCTAGAGAGTATATTTACATCTACAAATATATCATGTTTTAAACATAAATAAAATGGCATTATGAAGCCCTCATTTCAGCAGCTACTTAAATATTAACATGGCTTAAAATTTTGCAAGGGTTTGAATGAGAGAGAGGGTTCAAGACTGTCAGAAAAGCTCTGGAGTTGTTGCTGTCATGGATGTGTGAACCTAGTTGCTGTCTCCCAGATCTATACAAGATGTACTCGGAGATTAATCATGTGTGTGTGCAAGTGCGTGCATGTGTGTGCGCGCGCACACAGGAAGAGTTTAACTCAGTGGTGTATTACATCATTGTTTGAAGAATGTGCCACCCTTATTTTGTTTGTTTACTTTTTTAATGTACTGGCACTGAAGAATATCCCTAAGCGTTTGTTTAGAAGGGCTTTAGTCAACACTTTAATGCAAAATGGAAATTTTAAGTTCTATCTAAAGCAGCAGGAGAAAGACCTAGAAATTATGTAGAATTGAATTTAATTGTGGTATAAATGTGGTATTCATGGCAGAAATGATGCCTATCCACTGAATAAGTTTTAATATAAAATGTTAACGTGGATTTCTTCAATTCTGAGGTGAGATTTGAGCAGCTGTGTTTCTGTCATAACATCAAATAATGGAATGAGATTATTATTGAATTATTACTGAATTTCAAAGTGGAATTAATTTTCTCTTTTTAGCATAATCTTTCAGCTCTCAAATGTACAGTTTTATGTATAAAGGAACTACAAAACTTTGTAGCTGAGTCTTCAAATTATTCAACTAAATTATTCATAATATTTACAGCCTTGTAGAACAGCCTTTCTTCTGCAGCTCCACAACCTTATCCTCTGCTGTATTTGTTTGGGAAGATCTTCTAGTTCATTCTGATCAGGAATGAAAAATGGCTCCAAGAACCAGTTATTGTATGGTAGATACATTGAGGTCACACTCATTATCTCCATCGTGACTCGACCCTTATGACAGTATGTTGCCAAGAATCATTTTGTTACATATGAGGCAGAAGACATCACCCATTGGGCCCTTTCTCCACACACACACCCAAGTAGGCATCTGGTAGTACCAGATGTTTAAAAAAGGAATGGTCTGAAAAAGGGTCATCTCAGTACTTCCCAAACTAAGGAGTTTCACAGTGGTGCTACACAAATGAGATCCACCTACATGCTAGGCAACTGGGGACATCTCAGCAGAGATCTCTCATTTTACCTGAGAGTCTCTTGATAACTCAGAGTGTAAACTTGATTTACCAACATGCCTTGTAGAGTACTGAAACCAGAACATGTGTAACACATTGCTTTTTTGTGAGATTGTTTATTAGCTGTTACTACCATTATTACCTCCATTCCTTAAGGCAGCATGAATAGATGATCTCATAATATGAAACAAAAATAAGAAAATCTCAGCCTGGACCACTCAGGAGCTAGATCACAGACATCCTTATGAGCAGCATGTTAGATTAGGACCAACCCCTTCTTTTTCTTTTAACGGAATTTATGTCTATTTAGCTGTTTTTTAAGAGTTTGGAGACCATATTCAGAAAAACTTCAAAAATAGCATTGTATTCAAAAATACATCATTGTAAATTTTAAAAAATAAAAAATAAAATTAAAAATAAAATGAAGGATTTAAACCTTGAAAAAAAGACATCATTGTTAATGATATGCCAATTTCCTTAATAATTTTCAAAATAATTTATATGACTGATTTTAGTGAGCACTTTCAATAAGTATCTAGATATGTGGCTATCTTGGCGATTCTTCTTGATGAATGATAGAAATTAAAATGTTTACAGGAGAAGATTGGTAGCTTTTCTCTAGACTGTCTTTCCTGAATATAATTTCTCTCAGAGAAGTTTTTGTTAGGGGCTAGGTAGCAAATAATTTGGAGATAAACCTTCTGGTGAGGACAAGAAGCTTCTGATTAAGGATCCTGATCACTACTGTGGTACATATGGAAGGCTCCTCAATGCTGCAGGGAGGCTAGCCTAAGAGAGACCTGGAAGCAAAGATGGATGTAGCTTTGGATCCGGTCCATGAACCACTGCTCAGTGGAGGCTCTGGGTTCTATGGAGTATAGATATTCTAGATTTATTTGTCTTCCTAGAAGGAATGGGGCTCCATTACACACCCACTTATTGGCATAAATATCATTGTATCTCTTGATTAGATGACATTATGCAAGATATTTCATGTGTCATATATTTTTCTTTAAACACACCTTACCAATAATGCTCAGTATACAGACATGTCTGATAGATTGATTACCCTGTAGCCTTTAACGTTTTAAAATACAGATGGATTTATTCATATGTGTATATTATAGGTATCACATATATACATATAATGGAGTCATACTTAGGTATATGTAATGTAACCTATATATACACATTTTATATTGGTTTAAATATATACATAACTACAATGCCTTATGGCCTTATATCATCTTAACTTTTTCTCTTGTCATTATGTCTGTCTTCTGCTGAACTTCTTTCCTTTTCTTTCCTTCCCTTCCTTACTCCCTTTTAAAGAATTTTTGCATATATCATGAGTGTACAGAAAGGGACACCGAGAGTTATGGCTTAATCTCTATAGGTTGGGGACATAGTGAGTTCATAATTCTTTATGTAATATGACCCTTGTCAGAGTGTGTACTGCTCTTGATAGGAAATGCATAATGAACTGGGATTCATTATTTCACTCAACGAGCAGTTTTGTACGTACCCTTAAAGAGACTTTGACGTGACCAGACTATTGTTTATTCTTTGTGTCAGGGGCATCTCTTGCTGGCAAGGAGCAGTATGAGCCGTCCTGTGTTAAATGCCTTGTGATGGGAAGGGTGTTTGGAGTTTCTTGCCAGCTGGATGCATTGGGCATGTAGACAGCTGTAATATGGAAGTGTGACCCTGAGATACTGAGAAGCTGTTTGGTTTGTTATAGCAACTGCGAGAGTTGATAGCCGAACACAAGCCTCATATAGATAAGATGAACAAAACTGGGCCACAGTTACTGGAATTGAGCCCAGGGGAAGGCTTTTCTATCCAAGAGAAGTACGTGGCAGCTGACACCCTTTACAGTCAAATTAAAGAAGATGTCAAAAAGCGAGCCGTGGCATTGGATGAAGCTATTTCTCAATCTACTCAGGTAATCATTTATACCAGAAATATGACTGAGTTCGTTTAAATGGCAGAGCATGGAAAAACATTTTCTTGGATCTCCTGATTAAATTTGAACCAGAATTATTTCACTACATTAAATCTGAGTACTGATGTTTTTGCCTCTCAAAAGGGGTATTTGCTCAGTCCAATCCTTATATTTCTCTCTGCCTGCTTGCAGATACAATACAAAATAATTTTCAATGCCTTAAAAAACATACAACTGACATCACTGTTCAAATACTTAATTAAGTGTCCATCTAAAGTAGAATGGAATATTTGCCACTGGGAGAGCTAAAAGAAAAGTGCTATTATCATTATTAATGAGACACTCCCATGAAGGCAATAAGAAGAAAGACTGTGTAGACTGAATTAGAAGGAAACAATATAGAGTTGGAAATTCATGTTTTTCTTTTTTTGAAAATACCTGTTTTCAAGAAGTTGAATTGGAAATTACCTACAGATTTTCCATCTGCACAGTTGGGCTTTTGTTATTATATACACTGACAGTGGAGTGGGCCATTTTTCGTAATCCTGAATGATGATTCTTGTAAAACTGAGGAGAGTGTAAAATCCATGACTGAACAAGGTTTTATGACTTTGCTTTATTGCCCATGGTACCTTTGCAAACAAAACTTTAAAATTCTTTCATGAATCTGATTATGTGTTTGACCATGAATGGAGCTCAGACTTCTGTTCTGTCAGGGAGGTTTTTGTTTGGTCTCATTTTTTAACATTTTTCAATTCAGAAAATTTAGAACTTAAGAAATTCATGTATTCTAATAAAAAATGTTCTTGAATCTTACATTTAATAATATAACGTTTTTAGGATGTCAAAATAATGAGTATAGATGAATAAAACAGTTTTGATAGAAAAACACAGAGCTTATTGGGCTTAATTTTTAAAATTAATTTGAATTGTGATAAAATGAGGCAACAGGTAAAATGCTGATGTCAGCTAGTCCAATTATATATTAACCTATGCTGTTTCTTTCTTTTTTTAAGTATACTGTTTCTTAACGAATACACTCATTTGGGTAGATATGTTAACAAAGTAGCTGAGATTTAATTCTTGATTGTGACATTAACTATATGGGGTTTTTTTTGTTTTCATTTAAATATGACATTTGATATCACAGGTCTTTTCCCCATAAATGACCCCTTTGATTCACTTCTAGTTCCACGACAAGATAGACCAGATCCTTGAGAGCCTGGAACGCATCGTGGAGCGTTTGAGGCAGCCGCCTTCGATCTCAGCTGAGGTAGAGAAGATTAAGGAGCAGATCAGTGAGAATAAGAATGTGTCAGTAGACATGGAGAAGCTACAACCATTGTATGAAACACTTAAAAAGCGGGGAGAGGAAATGATTGCGAGATCTGAGGGCACTGACAAAGACATATCTGCCAAAGGTAATAATTTCAGAATAAGGAAACAACTGAACTTTACCTTTAAAATAATTCTAAATAATTCTAAACATTTAGAATTGTCCTGGTGTTTACGGACGGTCCAATTGCATAACAAAATGCCAGAGTTTAGAAAAGGTACTACCATTGCGGTTGAAGAGCTATGTACAAAAATCCCTTGTTAATGTTTTTCTGTGTTACAGAGTGTGCTTTTGCATAATGATGCAAAAGCCATGTGTTCTTTGGGACTTCTAAACCAGTTTTTTAAAGCATGATGCTAAGGGACAAATCTAGGTTTTGTTTTTGTTTTTTTTTCTCATTACTAATTACACACTACTTTTTATAATGCGTACAACAGACTGGGTATCCTGTAGCCACAGAAATGGCAACCACGACCTTAGCCAGCCATCTTAAAGATAAGAGCTGGGGGTCAAAAGGAAGAGTACATACATGGATTAGTGGAAGTTTATAAGGTTACTCTAGAAACAAGCCCAAAATACATATCCTACATTGTTATATTCCTGAGACTGAACAGACATCAGTATTTTTGATTTGGAGAGCTTAAGTGGTTATTTCATTTTCTTTGGAATGAAGGTCAGCCTTGGTGAACTTCAAACTTGGTAAACTTAGGTCTGGTCTGAGCTCACTTACCCTTGAGTGTCTACTTTTGTCAGAAAGAGCCTTGGTTCAGGAGGAGTAGGATACCCTGAGAGCTTGCATTTGTCTAGAATATGCTATATTGGGCCTAGTGATACTCACTAGACTGTGGTCAACTAAAATTGGGTCCAGTTTTAGATACTTAGCAAATTGAATCACTGTTTCTGTGTAAACTAAAACATTCTGCTTTATTGCTTAAATGAGGCTAACATATTGCCTTTTTGATACTATTTTGTGCCATAGCTGTTCAGGATAAGCTTGACCAAATGGTTTTCATTTGGGAGAACATACACACACTTGTGGAAGAAAGGGAAGCCAAACTACTGGATGTAATGGAATTAGCAGAGAAGTTCTGGTGTGATCACATGTCATTGGTCGTAACCACTAAAGACACACAAGATTTCATCCGGGATCTGGAGGATCCTGGAATTGATCCCTCAGTAGTAAAACAGCAGCAAGAAGCAGCAGAGGTAAGCAGAAAATCTCCTTTAAAGTAAAAAAAAAAAAAAAGTAAGTTGTAATGAAACCTGGATTCCCTTGGTAAATATTTGGAAGTACTCTATTACAGTTTATATTTGGTTCCAAAAGTAGAATGCATAGTGATATAATAAGAAATAGATTATACCCACATATTTCACTGAGAGAGTATGTATTTTTAAAGTTTCCCTTCATCTCAACTCCTCCTGCCTTATTTCAGGCCCTTGTTCCCTCCGTTTTTGGCTTCTGAAGTAATCCATAGTGGTATCCCTACCTGCAGAGTCTTTTTCCTTGCCCGACTTCCAACCTTGTCCTCTCTCTAGATCTACTCTTACCGTATCGCCACTCAAAACCACTCGGAGGCATCCACTGCCTACAGAATGAAATCCAGACACCCGATAGTAGTGTCCTGGCCTTTTACATCCCAGCACAGCCCATGCCTGTGTTCTCAAAGCCATTTGGTTGAGTGCTGCTCCTTTATTAGAAAGTGGCTTCCCCTGACACTGCGGTGTGCTCTTTCTAGTCTCTGTTATCTTTGCGGATTAGTTACCTCACCCTCGTATGTTCCTACCACTCTTCTGGCAAATCCCACTCAAACTTCAAGGGTCATTTGGGTTGCAAGCCTTCATGAAAAATCTTTTCTTGCATACTTAGGAAAGTTTGTCTGTGTTCTCATAATGCTGTCCTCATGCAAAGGACTCTACGCATAGTATAACTTATTGATTATATCTCTCTTTTTCCTAATGGACTTTGATCCCCTTGAGTGGAATAGCCCTATTTTTATTTATATCCCCAATGCCTAGTTTGGGCTTGGTTTACGCTTATTAAATGTTTCTTGAGTGAATAAATATATTTAACCAAGAAGATTAAAGCAAAAGTAGTAGACTGCATTTTTCTCCTATTTTTTTTTTGTAGTTTATAAGTCCTAGGGAAATGACATAATAAGCTAGATTATCTTAAATCTACTAACATTGTTAATTTGTTAGAAGTTTTTGAACTTGTGCTTTACTTTTGCTTTTTTAAGTTCTATTCTTAACAACTTTAAAATATACAATGCAGTATTATTAACTACAGTTACCAAGCTATACATTGCTTCCCATGACTTCTTTTTTAGCCAGTGGAAGTTTATACCTTTTGACCCCCTTCACCCATTTCTCCCACCCACATCCCCTGCCTCTGGCAACCACCTTATCTGTTCTCTGTGTCTGCAAGTTTGGTTTGGTTGTGTGCATAGGGATAGGAGTACTTTAGATTTGTTGTTGTTGTTGTTGTTGTTGTTGTTGTTGTTGTAGATTACTCAACCTCTATTTTAAATGTATATTGCCAGGGCATCTGGGTGGCTTGCTCACTTGAGTGTCTGACTCCTGATTGCAGTTCGACTCATGAACCCAGGTTCATGAGTTCGAGCCTCACATCTGGCTCTGCACTGACAGTACAGGGCCTGCTTGGAATTCTCTCTCTCTCTCTCTCTCCCTCTCTCTGCCTCTCCCCTGCTCATGCTCTCTCTTTTCTCTCAAAATAGATTTTAAAAAACTTCAAAAAAATAAAGAAAAATATAAATGTATATTGCCCAAACTATTTTGTTTCAAAAACAAAATATATCTCTACACTTTTCATTGTTATTGATATTTAAAGGAGCTTGTTCCGGTATTTGTTATGTAGAATTAGTTCTTTAAATATTGTTTTTAGAATAAAACATGTTTATTACAAAGGATGCTGTTTTTCTTTAAAATATTTCTTCTTTCTTATTCAAAAAATTGATCGCAGAAAGTTAGAAAAGAAGAAGAAGAAAATAAAATTGATCATAATCCCACGTCCTAGAAATAACTCTAATTAATGTCTCTGTGTCCATCTTTTTAGTTCCCGTGTGTTTTTGCTTAAAACTCTCAGGCTGTCATTTCTTATTCTAGGCCATTAAGGAAGAAATTGATGGACTACAGGAAGAGCTGGATATAGTTGTCAACCTGGGTTCTGAACTCATTGCTGCATGTGGGGAACCTGATAAACCCATTGTCAAGAAGAGTATAGATGAGGTACAGCTAGTGTATTTCCTACTCTCATCAAAATGCTTTTTTAAAAAAGATTTTGTTTAAAGCACATTTGGAAGAAATAGTTGCAAACTTAATAAATGACACTAAAAGAGTTCTGATATTTATATTGTAGTTAAATTCAGCCTGGGATTCTCTGAATAAGGCTTGGAAAGACCGGGTGGACAAACTTGAGGAGGCAATGCAGGCTGCCGTTCAGTACCAGGATGGCCTACAGGTAAGGGCGTTGCGGCGTGTCTCCTGGCAGGAGAATCGGGCTGACTGACGCGTGCGGATTTACACATTGACACCACCCCAGCACCGCAGATACGTGTGCAGTAGGCTCACCTACTTCAGTGCTTGTTTTGCCGTTTGGAAGGTATTTCTGACACTGGATAGGTGTGTAGATTTATGCACACATCTCACTACATTTTTATACACACAGTGCAATTTACTTTGAAAAGAAAAATTTTGATTTTTGGAAAATGTTAATGGTTCCACACCAGACAGTGAAATGAGAGCTGAATCGGAGTTCTCTTCTAAAGTTGAGTGGAGTAAGATGAAAGGAGTAAACACTATCTAAAAATATCCCTGAGTTTAACTAAAGTCAGAAGTAGAAGAGATTTGATTTGAAGCCAGTGTTCCCCGTTGAACTAAAATAGATTTCTGTTTCATTAGGTCATAATCTGTTGTGTAAAATGTTTTTCTTCCTTTCCATCCACGTAATTCCTTTTCACGGTTGTTTTTCACACCCCTTAACGGTTCTCATTCAGTTTATTAACCATGTTTTAAAGTTTCCCTTTTCATATGAAAAATTGTCTTGTTGGTGGAGGCCAGCTCAGGGACATTTCTCTCCTTACCTTCTTCAGCTTTATTCCATTTCCTAACAGGCTGGCCAGTGTTGAATCTGTCAACCCTCCTACCGTATGGAAAAAGCCCTTCTGAGTATTTCCATAACACCAAGTGAATATTATTTTTAAAGCTCAGATGAGAACATCTTTTCCTTTTTATTATGCCATTCCATTTCTATATTTGTAAGAGTAAATATCAGAAGCCAGGCTTCATGCCAGTTGAAAGTGTTTTGAACTTTGGAAATATATGAAAAAATTCACCACAAATAATATCTTATATAACTTTCCTCCTTCCCCGACTTTTTAACCGAAGAGTTAAATGATTGGTTAGGTTTCAGTGGCCAGGAACTAACTAATCAGGCTCCAGCCCTCAGTTTGTGGAAGCAGGTCATGATTTGTATGTATTATTAATAAATGACTGAGTTGTGCCCTCTTCCGTGGCAGGAGATGGCACTGCCACCATTTGCGGCCTTTTGACCTCAGGAGCCATTAGCCACAGAGGTCCCTGGCTAGGCTCTATGACTTTCCTTTTTTAAAAATTTTAATGTTTGTTTATTTGTTTTTGAGAGACAGAGAGAGAGGGAGGGGGAATGCAAGTGGGGGGAGGGCAGAGAGAGAAAGGGACACAGAGAATCCCAAGCAGGCTCCATGCCGTCATTGCAGAGCCTGATGTGGGGCACAAATCCGCGAACCATGAGATCATGACCTGAGCATGAAATCAAGAGGGAGGCTTAACCAGCCAAGCTACCCAGGTGCCCTGGGGCACCTTAACTTTTACTCTCTCATTACCCCTGCTAGATAGACAAGGCCCATTATAGGTTAGGAGCATCATCTGTGGGAATGAAGGGCCACTTGATTTATTAAATAGCTAAGATTGGCTAGAATGAGATGTTGAAAGGTCCAGAAGCTCTAGGCATTTCAGGGTTTGACTGTAAAGTAAAAAAAAAAAAAATATATGTTTATATGTTTTTATTAA